CATTATTTATTTTAAACAGGTCTAAAGAAACATGATATGAAGAAAATGTAGTCTATTTCAGAAGAACAGAATAGCATACTCTGAGTTGTACTTACTGTATGTTAGGCCCTGATCTGGCTATGCCATATGGCTGTGGGCTACACTAGTTCATTTAGCAGATCAGATTTGCTTAGAATTCCGTGGCATTATTTGATATTATTTTATAGTTAGAAGAATACAATTGAACATAGCTGAATAAAATAGAAAGGATATTTTCTCCAAACAATTTGAGGGAGTGCGCACATGTGGTTATTCTGTGTTGACCGGTTAACAAAGAAACAGGTACTCCTATATGCTTAATTTAGAGTTATTTATGTAACTTTAGTTGTGATACAAATGTTGGTCTATATGTTTAGATTTTTAATACATTCTAAGGCTGCATGAAAAAGTGCCATGAAAGGCATGAGCTCTGCTTTGTTTTTTGCGCAGGCTGTACACTCTTCATCAGTCTCTCATTCACAATTTGACAAGCACTTGATAATGCCTCAAATTTCCCGGCTGCATTCCCTTTGTATGCCCCCCCGAAAAAATCCATGCCTTTTGTGGCCAGTGGCCGTTGTACCCTTGGGCTGAATATAATACTTTTAATTCCCTTCTCCCAGCTGCTCTCCTAGCGTGCCGAAGCACCTTTCGTGCACATGGCACCAAGTTACGTGATTGGGTCTTTCTCACAAGCTACAAGTGAAGACAGACACATCGGGGACGGAACTGCCCTTGTCCTTATCCAGTTCCGAGGCGTATATTGAAGATATTGGAAGAACTGTCCACATTTACTTTTTGTCAGCCAACAAGATGAGTAGGCCTAATGAACAGCAAAAGCACTAGCATATGTCCATCTACTATCCCCCATAGTACAAAAGTTATTATATTGTGTGCGAGAAATAAATATTCCAAACATAGTCTGGGACAGTTGTGGGATGTGATAGATCCCAAATTAATACAACCACTAGCATAAAAAAACCTGTTTTAAGCAATGAGCCTGATGCAACAGATGAGAACGTTTAGCTTAAAATGTTGATAAACTATTAGGCTATTTCTTCACATTATAAGCTCAGCAATGCGCACACAGCAGCAGGCTATAAGCGCATATGTTCCATTAGCAGGAAAACACTTTTCTCAAAAGTGACCACAAATGCAATTATGCATGTGTGCTTTTATTATGAAGATGCATTTTTATGTTGAAAATTATCTTCCCCAAACTTGAAACTCACATGCTGCGTATGTATGCCAGTTAGGCTCTACACCCGTTGTAAAGCGGATTAATGTTATTTGGCCACTTTAGTTGTGATACAAACCTTATCAAAACATATAGGCCTATGGACTAGGCTACATGAGGTATGCAACTATGATTTAAAAAAGTCAACAACAACAAAAAAACATGCGCTGTTTGCCTTAAACTGGGCATCATTCGCAAGTGATAATATATCATTCAAAAGTGATAGGCTAATATTGTCACCCAATACACTATTCTTGATTTAATCTTGTCTTTACATATACTAAATAATATATGTGTGAAATTTGCTATAATATAGAATAGAACATTATCATGTACCTGTCTCCAAACAGGGACAGCGGAAAACAATATGTTGTCTATGCACTTAAATAGCGAATGGAGGATGCGTTACTGTGGTTCATTTTCATGCCAGCCAGGTATGCTATACTCCTGTTGTAAAGAGCAGCAATGTGCTTAATATTAGGAAAGTTGAGAAATAAATATAGTAGGCCTAGCCTATAGAAAGCTGATGGGATCCTCCTATTTTTAATAGAGGCCATCACTCTGTTTTCTCACGCAATTGCATAGCCTATAGAAATGTTGCACAACATCAGCTCATGGGCTCTCATGAAGTGTTTGATTCGATTTTCGATTGTATTTGCATTGATGTCAGAGTGATTAGAGGGACAATAGAGTGCTGGGTACCAGGCATTTAGCAATTTTGATAGGCTTCTAATAAGCAGCTTCAGAGCTTGGAGAAGCGTAATTACTGTGACTAAACGGTCACGTGGAATTTGACTGCCATCATGACTCATGACCACCGGTGTGGCGGTAATATGGTCACCGTAACAGCCCTACTCTGGTTCGACGTGTACGACAGTGTGTTCCAGTTCCCGCCAATATCCAGCAACTACGCACAGCCATTGAAGAGGAGTGTGACAACATTCCACAGGCCACAATCAACAGCCTGATCAACTCTATGCGAAGGAGATGTGTCGAGCTGCATGAGGCAAATGGTGGTCACACCAGATACCTACTGGTTTTCTGATCCACGCCCCTACTTTTTTTTTAAAGGTATCTGTGACCAACAGATGCATATCTGTATTCCCAGTCATGTGAAATCCATAGATTAGGGCCTGATGAATTTATTTCCTTATATGAACTGTAACTCAGTAAAATCTTTGAAATTGTTGCATGTTGCGTTTATATTTTTGTTAAATAATATTTGTCCTCTTTTATACCTCTTGCCTTATATTCCATGGATGAAAATGTACTGAATTAACATTTATGATTAATCAAATGATGTCTTTACTTCATGCCAAAAACAAGCATGCTACTGCTAATTAGTGCTAAATGTAAGGTGCACTCTTGCCATACATATTTTACATATATAGATTACCAACTGGACTCTTAGAATAAAGGGTTCCAAAATGGTTCTTCAGCTGTCCCCATAGGATAACCCTTTTTGGTTCCAGATATAACTCTTTTGGGTTCCATGTAGAACCCTCTTGGGAAATGGTTATACATGGAACACTATAGGGTTCTACCTCTAACCAAAAGGGTTCTACCTGGAACCAAAAAGTGTTCTTCAAAGTGTTATCCTATGGTGACATCTGAAGAAGCCTTTTAGGTGCTAATCAGCATATTTTTTTCTAAGAGTATGGGGTCATTTTGACCCTAAGAAGAAACTGTTGGAAAAAGCAACAATCATAGCATAATAGAAACGTAATGCTTATGAAAACATCATTAGGCATGTAAATAATGTCATCTGACATAAAAATAAAAAATAAAACTCTTAAACTAAATCTCTCATAATTTGCATATTCTGTCAGATGAAAATATATACTATATTTTCCCTTATATAATGTGCAGCTTTTTTCCAAAGTACAATCCACATTAGTAACAAAAATAAGATTTACCATCATTTGATTGCAGTATCATTTCATTTTTAGAATTTTGAAGTGAATCTTTTTTTCTTCATATTTATGTGGTAAAAGCGACTGCCATTTAAAGAGCCAGTACACAAAATTTGAAATATAATTAATTTTATTGACAAAAAGTGACTCATCTATTAATCCTGAGAGACAATGACCAAAAAAACACTCTCTGAGGATATGTTTAACTGAATATTTTATCTCCAGAGCAACATTTATTCAAATAAAGACTTTTTTTTAGATTTTCCCTAGAATAACCAATACAGCTCTCTGTTTAGATTCAGAGTGTATTTGAGTTCTGTATTGCTGTTCTATCAAGTATGTATACCACTGGCAGATTCTTATATGCACAAAAATAAGGTAATTTTTGTTTTGTGCACAGTCCTACGATACGTGGTATAGAAAAGTACAATCATTGGGAGCTATATCTCTGCAGATTATCTGTCTATCTGGTCAAAATGACTGATACAGGTCCCCCTCCACCCTCTGGTGGTATGGATAACTTGTTTATACACCAAGTGTGCAAACATTAGGACCACCTTCCTAATATTGAGTTGCACCCCCTTTTGCCCTCAGAACAGCCTCAATTTGTCAGGGAATGGACTCTACAAGGTGTCGAAAGCTTTCCACAGGGATGCTGGCCCATGTTGACTACAATGCTTTGCACAGTTTGTCAAATTGGCTGGATACCCTTTGGGTGGTGGACCATTCTTGATACACACAGGAAACTGTTGAGCGTGAAAAACCCAGCAGCATTGCAGTTCTTGACACACTCAAACCGGTGCGCTTGGCACCTACTACCATACCCCGTTCAAGGCACTTAAATATTTTGTCTTGCCCATTCACCCTCTGAATGGCACACATACACAATCCATGTCTCAATTGCCTCAAAGCTTAAAAATACTTATTTAACCTGTCTCCTCCCCTCCATCTTGAAGTGGATTTATAAAGTGACATAAATAAGGGATCATAGCATTCACCTGGATTCAGCTGTTCAGTCTAATGTCATGGAAAGAGCAGGTGTTCCTAATGATTTGTACACTTAGTGTATGTTTCCAGAGAAACCTAGATTCAAATAAAGGTCCTATCAAATTACTATATGCTGAATTGATGAGTGCCCAAAAGAGATCCCAAAATACAATAGGAGTATAAGGGAAGAGTCTTGCTCCAACCACATCCCCTCATCCCTGTGCACCCCGTGGCACCAGACACAGTCACAGGAGGAGTGACTTTGTCCGACTCCATTCCCGTCTGCGAGGGTGGCAACTGCCAGGGAGGGCTGGTGGGGGAGCGCCCAAAATGGTGTGTTTGCCAAGCCAAGGAGCCAGGGGGAGTCCCAGTGGCAGCTGGGAAGGGTGGGGCGGCCAGCTGTGGAGCAGCAGGATGGTGCTGGGGTGACAGAGATGCCACCAGACCCTGAGCACTGCACATACATAAAGGCACATAGGCTACATGCAGATCATTATAAAGGAGTGTAAACTAACACAAACATTTAACTATTTCTCTTAGTTTCTGAAACATCCATAAACAATTATATTTTAGTTGACACTATTATCCAAAGCGACTTACAGGAGCAATTAGGGTTAAGTGCATTGCTCAAGGGCACATTGACAGATTTTTCACCTAGTCAGCTCGGGGATTCGAACCAGCGACCTTTCGGTTACTGGCCCAATGCTCTTAACCGCTAGGTTATCTAACACACAACCATCATCATCATCAGCAGCAGCCGGGCAGGGCAAGGCAGGGCCACCATCTCCACACTCTGGTCACATGTTCTGGCCACACATCTGGTGCACCATCTGTATCTCTCCCCCCTATGTGAGCTGAGAGGGAGAAGAAGGGAGGTCATTTTGGGTGTAAATGTGCCCTGGACTTCTCCAGATACATCTGGACCAGACAGACCGGGCATGCAGGGTGTGGTGGGAGCGTATTGAACCAATTCTGCCAATACAGTAAATACAGACATATTCAAAACAAGGAAATCACAAAGCAATCTTACAGACAATATTATCTCTGTCCATACATTTGGAGAATAGAGACATTTGAAGAAAGACACTGTATAAAAATTCTAGCAATTTATTGTTGCAGTTTTTCAGTGACATACTGTACCATTTAACATCACAATGACACTTACAATAATGACCCCATCATATTGGCTACAGGGTGCTGAATGAAAAATAAAACAGTAATTACAAGATATGTACTACAGTATACCAAGGTTAGTACCTTTGAGGCTGACTGGAAACCAATGATATACTTATCTCTTCTCTGTAACATGTGCATGATGTGTCCATATAGTAATAGTGTATAAAGCCCAAGGTTTCATAGAATAATACAACTAAAGTCTGTACAAGCGTAAAATGTTGCATGACATTAATGGAAATCTATCTCAAAGCTTCATGTTTTATGTTATACGGTACCTAACTCATATTATTCTGTTGGTGGTCAACGTACAACAAGACACTTTGAATTACAACACGTTTATTCTGGGGGCAAATGTCTTACGACATTGTAAAGAAGACTCCATCTGACTGAAACAAGCTAATGTTGGGCTGATTATACTGAATGTACGAGTGAGTCTGATCGGACAGTCTGTGGTCAAAGCACTCCCTCAGACCCATAATGGGAATATTCAGTATGGGCATGTTCATAAAGTTGCAAATAAAAATGTAATGTATCGAGCAGACACTATTCTCCACCACAGAGATCTGTGTCTGATGTACAATAAGACATATGTTTGGAATATACCTCAACTGAATAAACCTTTTATCCAGCTGTCCAATAACAGAGCACACTGAAGCGCCAAGGCCATATTCTGACAACAGATACTGTAGATGCTTCTAACCTTTAGGAGAAGCAGGGGGCACTGGAAGCATTCAGGTGCCCCATTCATAAACCTTCTCAGAGTAGGAGTGCTGATCTAGGGTCCATGTAGTCTTTCACATTGTGATCTCCAAGGCCAAATTGATCCCAATTCAGCTCTCCTAATCAGAGACAATTCATGAGTATGGGCCCAGCGCATTGTGTTACACACATACTGTGCATTCCGAAAGTATTCAGACCCCTTCACTTTTTCCACATTTTGTTACGTTACAGCCTTATTCTAAAATTGATTAAATAAAACATTTTCATCAATCTACACACAATACCCCATAATGAAAAAGCGAAAAACAGGTTTTTAGAAGTTATCAAATGTATTCAAAATAAACAGAAATACCTTATTTACATAACTATTCAGACCCTTTGTTATGAGACTCGAAATTGAGCTCAGGTGCATCCTGTTTCCATTGATCATCCTTGAGCTGTTTCTACAACTTGAATGGAGTCCACCTGTGGTCAATTCAATTGATTGGACATGATTTGGAAAGGCACACACACACACACCTGTCTGTAGAAGGTCCCACGGTTGACAGTGCATGTCAGAGCAAAAACCATGAGGTTGAAGGAATTGTCCATAGAGCTCAGAGACAGGATTGTGCAAAGGCACAGATCTGGGGAAGGGTACCAAAACATTTCTGCTGCATTGAAGGTCCCCAAGAACACAGAGGCCTCCAACATACTTAAATGGAAGAAGTTTGGAACCAGCAAGACACTTCCTAGAGCTGGCCGCCCGGCCAAACTGAGCAATCGGGGGAGAAGGGCCTTGGTCAGGGAGGTGACCAAGAACCCGATGGTCCCTCTAACAGAGCTCCAGAGTTCCTCTGTGGAGATGGGAGAATGTTCCAGAAGGACAACCATCTGTGCAACACTCCACCAATCAGGCCTTTATGGTAGAGTGGCCAGACGGAAGCCACTCCTCAGTAAAAAGGCACGACAGCCAGCTTGGAGTTTACCAAAAGGTACCTAAAGGAGAAACAAGATTTTCTGGTCTGATGAAACCAAGATTGAACTCTTTGGCCTGAATGCCAAGAGTCACGTCTGGAGGAAACCTGGCACCATCCCTACGGTGAAGCATGGTGGTGGCAGCATCATGCTGTGGGGATGTTTTTCAGTGGCAGGGACTGGGAGACTAGTCAGGATCGAGGGAAAGATGAACGGAGCAACGTACAGAGAGATCCTTGATGAAAACCTGCTCTAGAGCGCTCAGACGGGGCGAAGGTTCACCTTCCAACAGGACAACGACCCTAAGCACACAGCCAAGACAACACAGGAGTGCCTTCAGGACAAGTCTCTGAATGTCATTGAGTGGCCCAGCCAGAGCCCGGACTTGAACCAGATCAAACATCTCTATGAAAAGACCTGAAAATAGCTCTGCAGCGACGCTCCCCATCCAACCTGATAGAGCTTGAGGATCTGCAGAGAAGAATGGGAGAAACTCCCTAAATACAGTTATGTCAAGCTTGTAGCGCCATACGCAAGAAGACTCGAGGCTGTAATCGCTGCCAAAGATGCTTCAATAAAGTACTGAGTGAAGGGTCTGAATACTTCAGTAAATGTGATATTTCCGTTTTTTATTTGTAATACATTTTTTCAAAATTTCTAAAAACCTGTTTTTGCGTTGTCATTATGGGGTATTGTGTGTAGATTGAGGGGAAAAAGCAATTTAATCAGTTTTAGAATAAGGCTGTAATGTAACAATATGTGGAAAAAGTCAAGGGGTCTGAATACTTTCCGAATGCACCGTATATCTCAAGTCAGAATACAGCCCCACTCAAAGGTCATGTTCTAGTTCTGTTGCCCAAATAAATAAATGTTTCAGCACTGATGCTTCAATGCAGATGGGTGTTCTCAGTTTGTTTGAGGGATTTCTATGTACAATCCATTCATAAAACCAAGGCATCCGATTTGTTTACCCCAAGCACATTCTTTGTACAAGTCACTGAAGAAGCAAAGCGAATTCAGGGGGTACAAATAACAAAAGAACAAACAACATGGGGGATGAATACAATGTCCTCACAACTAAAAAAAAAAATGACATCAAGACATAGTTCAAGAGAAAAAAATGAAACAATATTCAACGTTACTAGTCTCCAAATTCTTATACAAAGTTAACTCCATCTAAAAAGCATAAAATACATTTTTACATCACATATGTTGACCTTGACATGTACCATGGCCTAACAGAATTTTGTTTCAGGTGCAAGATCTCCTCACGCCACCTCTGTCCCACCCCTCCCATTGGCATTATTGCTTCTTATGAACGGGGGGCTATTGGATGGAGAACCATTGCACTAGAGTGTGAAGTTCAGTTCTGTACAATTCTGTCCTCTGTGATATCCAAAAAATGAATGTTACTTGTTATTTTTGCCCATTTCACAATCTGCAGGGCTCTGGATAAGGCAGCTCTGTTTCATTTTAAGGCATCGCTGCATTGAGACTATTAACACAGACCAGAAGCGGAGTGATGGAAGTGGACAGAATCATCTCATTATCGACATTAACAAAAATTACACTTTTCACATAAGGACCACAAAGTGTGTGTGTGTGTGTGTGTGTGTGTGTGTAAGTGTCTCAGTGAGCTGCAGCCGAGTTTAGAGGTTAGAGGTCAGAGCAGGGCTCTTGGTGACTGCCATGACCATCTCTCATTGCTGGTAATTTCCATATTGACCCTGTGGAGGAAGGAAGAGAGTACTGTAAATGGACAGATCTTTATGACTTTTCATTTTACATCTGAACAAACAAGCATTTACTAGAGAAAAGCTAATATTTGAATATCTAAATAGGATGCAAACACACACATCTTTGGTAGCTATCAACCTTATGTTACAGATGCAGATTCCTGTTTAGCTGCATTGGCTGGATTTAACCAGCAGGTGGCAGCATGGCCTCAGAAAAGCTCATGAAAGGAGGGACGCAACTTCTTATCAGTATACTGTAGCAGTAGGCAAAATGCTGCTCTGTGACTTGTGCATTTAATATGATAGGAGGGCCATGTTTTTTTTATTTTAAAGGTTCATTTCTAAACAGGGGTCGAAAGTGGCTTCTCTTTAGGAATACAATTGTCATTAGTTAACATATTTCAGATTTTCAGTTTCAATTGGACTACTTTGATCAGACACTATTTCTACACAGTGCATAAGTATTAATAAATGACACATAAAACATTTAAATGCAGTTAATTGCATGAAACATATATGAATAATAACCTAAGTAAGGCGAGTTGTATTTTTGATTGATTTTGTCAATTTCAAACCATCTACATTTTCTCAAGTTCCCCTACAGATTGTACTTGATATATTTGAAGACCTCAAGCATAAAGTTCGACCCCTGGTTACAAAAAGACGTAAAGAAATCAGATGTTTAAATAGAAGACAGGAGGAGAAACATAACAAATGCAAATCAAGGCTAGGCGAACAGGTCAAACGTCCAGATTTGACGTTAAGGTGACGTCTTCACAGAAACCATTACCTTTGCTTCTTACAGAGCTAGTCAGGGGTTCAAATCCCTGGGTCTTTATTTCCTCATGTGCCCCTGAATATTCAAAGATAAAGAATCAAAGTGTAGCTGTGGCCTCCGCAAAGGACCACAGAAAATACAGGGCAACACGTAGCTCTCCCCTCCCTGTCAACACTCCCAAAGTTCTATATTACGTTTGGGACGAGAGACTTTACATTACCCTGCTCTTCTCTGACTTGCTGTATTATCCAAGGCAATATATTATTCAACTCACAACTCAACTGAGAAGGTAGGTTTCTCCTAACAGAGGAGAACCATAATGTAAGCTGGCTAAACACATCAAACCGTCTTAGTAACTACAGTTGAAGTCGGAAGTTTACATACACCTTAGTCAAATACATTTAAACTCAGTTTTTCACAATTCCTGACATTTAATCCTAGTAAGAATTCCCTGTCTTAGGTCAGTTAGGATCACCACTTTATTTTAAGAATGTGAAATGTCAGAATAATAGTAGAGAGAATGATTTATTTCAGCTTTTATGTATTTCATCACATTCCCAGTGGGTCAGAAGTTTACATACACTCAATTAGTATTTGGTAGCATTGTCTTTAAAATTGTTTAACTTGGGTCAAACGTTTCAGGTAGCCTTCCACAAGCTTCCCACAATAAGTTGGGTGAATTTTGGCCCATTCCTCCTGACAGAGCTGGTGTAACTGAGTCAGGTTTGTAGGCCTCCTTGCTCGCACACGCTTTTTCAGTTCTGCCCACACATTTTCTATAGGATTGAGGTCAGGGCTTTGTGATGGCCACTCCAATACCTTGACTTTGTTGTCCTTAAGCCATTTTGCCACAACTTTGGAAGTATGCTTGGGGTCATTGTCCATTTGGAAGACCCATTTGCGACCAAGCTTTAACTTCCTGACTGATGTCTTGAGATGTTGCTTCAATATATCCACATAATTTTCCTTCCTCATGATGCCATCTATTTTGTGAAGTGCACCAGTCCCTCCTGCAGCATAGCACCCCCACAGCATGATGCTGCCACCCCGTGCTTCACGGTTGGGATGGTGTTCTTTAGCTTGCAAGGCACCCCCTTTTTCCTCCAAACATAACGATGGTCGTTATGGCCGAACAGTTCTATTTTTGTTTCATCAGACTAGAGGATATCTCTCCAAAAAGTACGATCTTTGTCCCCATGTGCGGTTGCAAACCAGTCTGGCTTTTTATGGCGGTTTTGGAGCAGTGGCTTCTTCCTTGCTGAGCGGCCTTTCAGGTTGTGTCGATATAGGACTCGTTTTACTGTGGATGTAGATACTTTTGTACCCGTTTCCTCCAGCAACTTCACAAGGTCCTTTGCTGTTGTTCTGGGATTGATTTGCACTTTTCGCACCAAAGTACGTTCATCTCTAGGAGACAGAACGCATCTCCTTCCTGAGTGGTATGACGGCTGCGTGGTCCCATGGTGTTTATACTTGCATACTATTGTTTGTACAGATGAACGTGGTACATTCAGGCGTTTGGAAATTGCTCCCAAGGATGAACCAGACTTGTGAAGGTCTACAATTTGTTTTCTGAGGTCTTGGCTGATTTCTTTTGATTTTCCCATGATGTCAAGCAAAGAGGCACTGCATTTGAAGGTAGGCCTTGAAATACATCCACAGGTACACCTCCAATTGACTCAAATGATGTCAATTAGCCTATCAGAAGCTTCTAAAGCCATGACATCATTTTCTGGTATTTTCCAAGCTGTTAAAAGGCACAGTCAACTTAGTGTATGTAAACTTCTGACCCACTGGAATTGTGATACAGTGAATTATAAGTGAAATAATCTGTCTGTAAACAATTGTTGGAAAAATTACTTGTGTCATGCACAAAGTAGATGTCCTAACCGACTTGCCAAAACTATAGTTTGTTAACAAGAAATGTGTGGAGTGGCTGAAAAATGAGTTTTAATGACTCCAACCTAAGTGTATGTAAACTTCTGACTTCAACTGTATATATTAAACTCCCCATACAACGTCAGCATGCACAAGACACCTACTCCTCCCTGGTCTCTTGCTTATGGACACTTACTTACGGACACTCCCTGAACCCTGGACAAACTAAATGTTATATCTCATCTTTAACTTCTATCCATCTCTAGTCAACATACATGGACACAGTAAGACCTGCCTACTCATGGGCTCATGCTCACCTGGTCGTAGCCTGGGTATGGGCGTTGTTGCTGGGCCGGAGGGGGGCCGGGCTGGGGGCCCCGGTAGGCCCCATACTGCTGTCCCTGGCCCTGGGGGTAACCCTGGGGATACTGGCCTGGGGCTCCCTGGGACGGACCTGGCGGACACACAGAGATCAAAGGTTATGGATGTCTGACAAATATTACATGACGATACTGTTATTCACACCAAATAGGCACACAAATACATTGTCTGTTCAATAATAAAATGCACACAGTCTGGGAGCGTAACAGCATTGTAGATTCCCTGATTTTGTTGTTCGATGTCAATCATTATGACACGTCTTCTTCTTGCACCATTGAGAGCTTCAGGGGAACTCAGTGTCAATCCACCTCTATCTATCCATGAACACACTGTAGTTAATAGACAGAACCACTGACAGGCAGACCGACAGAGGCATGGCAGAGAGAGACTAGTGGGTAGTATTAGTTGGGCCCTGGGCCATTTGTTGAAGTTTGGCTCCACACTGACACTGGCCCACTCTTCTCTGTAATGAGAGAGTCTGACTAACTGCAGCCGGAGCTGTAGCCAGCACCAGGGACGGTGCTGGGTGTTAAGTCGTCTAATGCAAGAAGACATCAAGGAGATTCCGTGGGCCTTCATTAGAGAAGCGGAGCCTCATTAAAAACCACTTCATCCGACAGCCTCAATACTACCACTGCACTGGTGTTACCGTACAGCCGCGTAGCGCCGCGCTATCAGGCTTTCCAACGGCTGATCAGTGATACGATGCCTGACTGACTGGGGCCAAGTCAAACGAGACCCACGCAACATCGTTAGGGTGCTCGTAATGCAAACACCGCAAAGCTTAACCTTGTGGGGGCCCGCCTGCGAGAGTGAACGAGCGTGTGTTTGTGTGCCAGATGGAGCCTACCTCACAGCCTCTGCCTCTCTCCACCAGCTCATTACTGACATGAGAGAAAGGCCTCTGGCTCAGAGAGAGAGAAAGAGGGAGAGGAAGAGCTGACAGGATTTTAAAAACGAAGGGGAGAAGGCCCACTCGCACACACTGCCGAGGGAGATTACCCATAAGCCTGACCTCTTCCCTTCTCTTTCACTCATTCTCTCGCACTCCATCCCTCACTTTCTGAACTTCCTATAATACAGTGACTAGGCCTATACAGTGACCCATCGGAGTAATAGAGGGACACCTAACACAGCACATTGTCTGCCAGCTCCCTCTTCTGATCAACGGGCCAGTGTCTGTAGCCTTGACAGTGCTGCTGCGACATTGAAAGGTCACAATGTCAATTAGGAAGACAGTGGCGTGGTACAGTAAACAAACGGGAGGCTCTGGGTTGGTGACATTTTGAATCAAGGACTGATGTTTCAAGGCAACTAAATCGAAACTAAATGGTGCCTCCTACAGGATTAGTGTGGACTGACTGCCAGTCAAATTCAGAGCAGCGGAAAACACAAACAACGTTTTACTCCCATTGATGTAAAACGGTGTATAGACAATGTGATCAGCTATGGAAAGATAGAGCGAGAGAAGAGAGAGAAGCGAGCGAGACAAATAGATAAAGAGAGAGAAACAGAAAAAGAGAGAGAAACAGAGAAAGAGGGAGTCAAATGGGAGATATCCACCCACCATAACCCTGTTGCTGTCCAGGGTAGCCCTGCTGTCCGGGGTACTGCTGCTGTGGGGGGTAGCCCTGCTGCTGAGGGGGACCTTGCTGGTAGGCCTCCTGCTGCTGGCCATACTGGGCGTTTCCTACAGGGGGCAACAGAAAGACATTACAGTATCTGTGACATTACAGTATCTGAACCAGGCTCTACGACATAACAGCAGACAGCACAGCAGTGCTTAGTGTGGCCAGAATCAGGGACGAGGTCCATTCCATTTCAATTCAATAAACTCGGGAGGTAAACGGAAATTCCAATTCAAAATGTTATGATTGGAATTTCAGTTTACTTCCTGAATTGACTAAACTGAACAGGAAATTGACACCAACCCTGATCCGAATGTTTTGAAAACACTGATTTAGGCTGTTAACAAACAAAGTTAACAAACCATGATCTTTTTCATAGGGGGACTGTTGGTTGGCTGCTGGGTCTCGCTCTGGCAGACAAGACAAAAACCACAGGAGAAAAGAACCAACACTGTGAGCACACCCATTAAGAGGAGTTTTGTTTTTGATATGCAAGAGAATTGTTATAGTGACACCTTTTCAGCATCCTTACCTGACACCTGCTATGAGCCGTTTAAAAAAAAGCTTGAACGTCAACATTTAAGAGAAATGAAATATTTGTGAGTGAAAAATCAAGAATAATAAAAAGATGTAGGAAGGCAGAAAACAGAGCACAGACTCAACTCAACCTCCCTTAACCTGAACAAAGCTGGCCAGGGAAGGCTAATTGGGAGAAATAATACTGGTGTAGAAAGTGTATTTTAGGCATGTTAATTGTAAAAGCTAGCATTTAGGCTACTGCAGTTATTGAACACAACCTTAGCAACACAAAAGTTCCATAAGTCATTATGTGGCTTTAGACGCTACGATATCTTTTTCCCTACGTACATTTCTGTGAAGCTACATTGACACCTCCTTGGTAGTATTGTTCTGAGAAATCAAAGCCTTGATCAGGAAACGGTGGCTAAAGCAAACCGTACTCACCATCACCTATAGCATTACTTCACAGGGAGATAGGAAGACATGTTATTTCATGTCCATTTTGGAGGTGATAGAAGTCAATGGGGGGGAAATTCAGGGGATTAAAATATATTGTTATATACACATAAACATCATTTATTGTGCTTCACACAGTTTTTGTGTGCATAGAAATGTTCATAAATATATTTTTGCAAAAGTAATAACTAATCATGGGAGAAAAATACTTTATTTCGAGAATATACTTATTTTCCCAAGACAATATTTAAATCCTGTAATTCCCATCAGAGTACAACCTAGATATTGGAGACTGGAGAGTGCTGTGTCAACATTTCAAAGGGAGTAGAAAGTAGAAAAGGTGTAGAAAGTGACACATGGAAGAGAAATGTATTCATTTGAGAATACTTCTTTATGTTGATGCTTTGACACAAAATCACTATGAAGGGGTGGGAAATCACTGGGGAAATCATCCCAGTCCGACTAGTCTCCTTTTACGGCATGAGTCTTTAACACATCTGACAAGTCTGCTAACTCTTATGTGGGGCTTCTGCTAAAGTAGGACGTCTGCTTCCGCTAAAAGCACCACCTGAGATAATCTTCCTAGATGGAATTGCTGTATGAATTTGGAGCCCCACCTCCACAAGATCACGGTTCGATAAAATAACTAGCCGACTAGCTATTTGTTTATCGACAACGCACAGCCCCGGTGGGACGGTGGGCGGGCAAACCGAACATCAGAGCTTCCTTCTGGCCAGACTTACAGAACACAGTGACTAATGTCCAACTGAATAGTTAAGACGACTTTCTTTCATTTTCTACTTCCACAAATGTTCTAGATAACCGCGTTGGAACCGAAATAAACCATTGATGATCTGGATAAGGCTCGGGTGTGAAGTGGTGCTGAACGATCCACTTCCATATCTGAGGGACAGTGTCACCATCTATCACACAATGTTTTGCTTTGTTACGCTCTCCATCCTCTGTCCTTCTCCATGCCTCAACACAGCTCCTCTAAGTGAAACTTAAACGGGCGGAGTGGTTTGGTTGATTCTACGAGCGAGCAAGCGGTTGGTTTGATCTCCTACCTTCTGAAGCTCCCTGTCCTGCGTGACTGTACTGGTCGCCATAGTAGTCTTCCTGCCCTGGGTACTGCTGAGGGGGTCCTACATACACATACACACACGGCACACAACACACACACAGGTAGATTCAAGGTGTTGTTGGGGGGTAATTTCGGCGGGGAAGGGGAGTGAGGTTGGAATTTTGACCGCTTATTTGCTAGAGAGCTCCTGTGTGAGTCTCGTTGGTCACCAAACTACAGTTTAGTAGTGCTGGGGCTGACAACAACCTTCAGGGCGCCTGGGTGAGTGTTCCTTCTATGGTTATGGGGCTACCTGCGTCTGTGAGCAATGACAATGGAAGTGAAAGATAGCTCCACTTAAAGATGAAGAGGAGAGGGGGTTAGGTACAGGAGAGGAGGTTGCAGCCCTGTGTCAAGTCAAACCAAGCGTCTTGCCCTTGGGCCCAGTGATCCAATCTGTGGAGCGGAGCATACCTTGCTGTGGGGGTCTGTAAGGGGGCATGGGCCTCTGCCCCATGACATGGTTTCCCTGGTTGACCTGACCCATCATGCCCATGGGGTTCTGCTGGCCCTGGTAGTGCTGCCCGCCACCCCCAGGGGGCATGTTGTACTGCTGGGAGGGAGGCTGCTGGTGCATCATGGGGCCTGGGGCAGGAACAACACAAATATAGACAATATTTCATTAAAGAACCCAATTTGGAAGAAAAAAAAAAGGACAAATGAAAGTCCAGTGATTGAGGTGATAAGGAACAAAGTGAAGGTCTACCAAGGATACTTTTTTCCCCCCTCTTTCCTGTACCTTGGTTAGGCTGCATGTTCATGTTGGGCCGGGGGCCGTAGCTGCCCATGGGTCCCTGGGTCATGTTCATCTGGCCCTGGGCAGGCATGCCCTGAGACGAGGGCACAGCATGGTTGTAGCCACCCATGGGGCCGTGGCTGCTGGGGGGCATGTTCATGGCGCCGCTGCCAGGCATGTTGGGAGGCTGGTTGGGGCCAGGCCCGGGGCCCTGCATGGGCATGTGATTGGGACCTGGGACAAAAGAAGAAGGGCAGACCATTTAACCTTCAGGAAGATATTACCATTAGGTACAGAGATTAAGATTGAACTGTTAAATTAAAACACTCTCTCCTGAGAAAGTATTTTCTCCCTATTCTAATATTTACAAGCATGTGTGCTGTATAGAGCCTTGACAACTGGTAATAATTGCCCAATCTACCCTGCGGCATAACAAAGTAGAATAAATGCTAACAGTCTCTCTCACTCAAACAAACACGCATATAAACACTACCACAGTGAAGTGGAGTCCAAGACCACCTAGAAATATAAAGACAAGAAACAGTCAGATGCGCAGTAATACCCCCTGAACCTGCTGCACTGGGAGCCACATTTGAAATGGAATTACATAGAAAACACGACTTGGGCTGTGGTCTCCATTCATGTAATACATTAAATATATACATCAAATGGTATTGGGGAACCATTTCATAGTTTTATCACAGGTACATTATTTTCCCATTTCAATCTTATAGCAACCCTATGCTTTTCATGACTTATGGGCAGGGCAGACCATCTGACATGCCATTCAATATTTTGATGTGCAACCTGGAATACAAATGTAAGAGGACCAGTTCCTCTATAGTGAAATAAATCTCACATCTGTGCTGTTTGTGAGCGATGTTGTTAGGCTACAATGTATCGTTGTTTCTTCTTCAGAGCGCACTGGCGAGCAACACCAATACTTTTACTACACAGAGAGAACCACGAGATCTTCAGGTTTAGCACTGTATCCACACATTTTTGAATGATCTGAATGAAGATGTTGATGATTACGGTGAAAGGGGTGATTAAATGTAGAATATACAACAGGTGTTGGCAACTAGGTTTGGCATCCAGCCAATTTTTCCCTGAGATTGTAGCTAGTCGGCAAGCCAGAAAATAATTATTAGCAAATAGCCTACTAGCTGCCCAAATCATAGCCCTACAATACACATTTAACACGTGGTTAGTGGGCTCGATCTGATTACAGTGGTAATATCATCAGTCTCTATTAATACCTAATCTAATCTTACCGTATTTCTTCAATACCAAACCAGTGTCTTGTTTTCAACAAAACGGTCGCTTTTAGTAAATAATTCAATCCGAGATGTCATTATGAATCTAAGCATGGTACTTTCAGAAGTTGCTTTTCCACCCCAGACATGACGCCCGAGTCTGACGCAGAAAGGAGGAGGTAGGCCTATTTAAGGAGTGCATGGTGACAGTATTGGAGGAAATAGCTATACCGACAAATATATGGAAAGCATAATTGTGTCTGTCAAACAGGTAATACGCCACAAATGCGCCAACAAAGCCCTCGTTAGTAAATGTGCCTTCTCAACTTTCAGCACAGGTGCTGTCCATATTGATTTTAGAAATAGCAATCCACACACGAGTGGTGGCTGCATCTCAACTAATATTTTCTCTAATTCATCCAATTATATTGCTTTCTCTTGTTTTTATAATGGATATATTCCAAAGAATATTCCTTAAAATGTAGTTTATTGACGGTCCCCAACTAGCCCCAGAGATAGGCTATCCAAAGTCAAACCAACTTTGCCACGGTCGCAAACCAGCTACTTGGCAAAATTATTTGGCTAGCTTGCTACCTAGTCTAGACTACTTCCAGACACAATACCTGGTTAGACTGTTTCAAGTTATCTAGAAGGGTGAGTGACTAACTATGTATTGTTTTGGCAGAGTGAAAGTACAAGCGCTTCCCACGTTCGACACACACACGAGACACCCACATCAAAGCACGCCTCCAAGACCCAAATCTCGTTCCCAAATGTCGCATTTCCTAATAAGGAGAATTAAAACCGAGGCTAAATCAAGTTCAGCCCCCCTTTAATGATGCTATTATTTTCTCGTTCATGGCATGAGTGCGAAAACTAGAGAGAACTTCTATGGTAAGATTGAATTGGCTTCTTTCTCTCGTTGATACGTTTCACACATTTCCAATCCTGACCCAAGCACACATTTGAGTTACAAACACATGGGGACTTCATTTCCATAATGTTGGATGTGATGGGTATATAGTCTTCTCTATTCGCTACAGAAAATTGTAAAGGAATAACGTTAGGAAACATGAATCTCAACCTACAGCGGTCAAATGATTTGGCATAAATAGAAGCGATCAGCAACAGCTTGATAAAGTGTAAAACACATGTGAATGCTTAATTACACAATGTAAATGGGACAATATTTTTATGTTGCAAACCAACTATTAATTGCACTTTTAGTTGTCTCATTAAAATGATTTCAATATCTGTATATGAATTTCTACAATTTATAGTTGGTTTGAGGTTTTAAGTCAGAAATATGCAGCTATTGACATTTTAAATATTGTCCTATGTACGTTGTTTAATTTACTGATGGTCCCTAACTATCCCCATAGGGATATCGAATGTCAAACCAAATTGACCAAATTGACCATGGGCATTACGATCGGGTCGTGTGCAGCTGCGCTCGGAATTGCTGCCAGCTGTGGGCATGATAAACCCAAGGAAAACTGTTACATCTTTCATCCCGTGACATACCATTTTTCCTAATTAACTCGCAAATCGCTGTTTTGGGCTAGACTGACTTTATGACCAAAATTATCAGGAAAAAAACAATAGGAAAAGTCAGACAAATACCTTAACTACCTTTCCATCCCACACCGGCCCATATGGGTTGTTCAGTAGGGCACTATAAAATACACATTACGCAGAACACAGACGGAATCACGGAATCCAGACATTAAAACGGAATTCAACAATATTCCTCCCCCAAAAATGTACTTAATTAATTAACTTAGAACATTTTATACTTTTCCCAAGTTAATCACAAAATGCATCAGTGAAACGGCACAGGAATGCCCCTGTGTGTGTGTGCCGTGCGCACACACACACACTGCAATGTTAGCAATGATGCTAAACGATAACAGTCTTCTGGTAGCGATGGAAAGGATTTCCCAAAAACCTTCTCAGTTAATCATTAAGAATTGTTTTAAGATGGTCATACCATGATCATTTAGCTATTAGATATTTTTTAACCCATATTTAACTAAACATTTTGCCACTAAACTACTTCCATATATGCAATGCCTTCAGAAAGTATTCACACCTCTTGCTTGACACACAATACCACATAATGTCAAAGTGGAATTATGTTTTTAGAAACATTTACAAATAAAACATGAAAAGCTGAAATGTCTTGAGTCAATAAGTATAGAACCCCTTTGTTATGGCAATCCTAAATAAGTTCAGGAGTAAAACATTTGCTTAACAAGTCACATAATAAGTTGCATGGACTCACTCTGTGTACAATAAGTGTTTAACATGATTTTTGAATGATTACCTCATCTCTGTACCCAACACATACAATTATCTGTAAGGTCTATCAGTCAAGCAGTGAATTTCAAACACAGATTCAAACACAAAGACAAGGGAGGATTTACAAAGCCTCGCAAAGAAGGGCACCTATTGATAGATGGTTAAAAATAAAATGTTATTAATTACACTTTGGATCGTGTATCAACACATCCAGTCACTACAAAGATACAGGCGTCCTTCCTAACTCCGTTTCTGGAGAGGAAGGAAACCGCTCAGGGATTTCACCATGAGGCAAATGGTGACTTTAAAACAGTTAGAGTTTAATGGCTGTGATAGGGAGGAAACTGTAGTTAATCCACAATACTAACCTAATTGAAGTGAAAAGAAGGAAGCCTGTACAGAATAAAAATATTCCAAAACATGCATCCTGTTTCCAATAAGGCACAAAAGTAAAACTGCAAAAAACAAGGCAAAGAAATTAACTTTATGTCCTGAATATAAAGTGTTATGTTTGGGGCAAATCCAACACATCACAGAGTACCACTCTTCATATTTTCAAGCAAGGTGGTGGCTGCATCATGTTATGGGTATGATTATCTTCGGCAAGGACTAGGGAGTTTTTTAGGATAAAAATAAATGGAATAGAGCTATAAGCACAGGCAAAATCCTAGCGGAAAACCTGGTTCAATCGGTTTTCCAACAGACACTGGGTGACAAATTCACCTTTCAGCAAGACAATAACTTAAAACAAACCTACACTGGAGTTGCTTACCCTTGAATGTTTCTGAGTGGCCTAGTTACAGTACTGACTTAAATCTGCTTGAAAATCTATGGCAAGACTTGAAAATGATTAACAACCAACTTGACAGAGCTTGAAGAACTTTAAAAAGAATAATGGGCAAATATTGTACAATCCAGATGTGCAAAGCTCTTGGAGACTTAGCCAGAAAGACTCACAGCTGTAATCGCTGCAAAAGGTGAGTCTAACATGTATTGTCTCAGGGGCATGAATACTTATGCAAATGAGATATTTCTGTATTTAATTTTCAATAAATGTCTAAAAACATGTTTTCACTTTGTAGGCCAAACCATTCGGACGCTACAGACGTTTTAGTGAGAAGACCGATTTTCGTGATGTCTCATGGTCTGACAAACACCGCTGTAGCTCAGCCACCTTCCACCGCAGATGTGGAAGGTCACCATTGGCGGTACAGTGGATTGAGACAGCACATGCAAAAAACATATTTCTAGCTAAAACAGACAGATTTTTATGGATTTTTTAAATTTATTATGCTAATTTGAGTTCCGCAGGGGCACGTACATCGACTGTAGTGGGTTAAACATTAACTACAAAGTTAGCCTATGCCTACCTGGCAGAATGATATCATGATTATTTGCTTCAATCCAGTGGCCATTTGTTTTGCAAACTCTGCAATCACATGAGCGCTATAGAAACATCACTAACCAAACAATGGTCTCTGGCTGGGTGCACACAATAATTAAAGGGTAACTACACATTAGAATCAATATTTTGAAGTGTTTTTCCTATATTTAGGAGATATATGAAAGCTCAGGAAATATTTTGTATACATATTTTTTTTTTTTACACATATTTAACCCCTTTTTTTGGGTAAGCACAAAACTACCTTCATACTTCCATTCATTTTTTTTAAAACCGGTACCGGTTACCTTCAGACGAGTTCCGTGACACTTGTGGGGGGGGTCCTAGAGCAAAATGGAGAACACCATCGTGTTAGTGAGAATCTTCCCTTTCCACAGTGGAGTCATAATAGTTTCGGGATGTCACATGGTCTGACAAACACTGCTCTAGCTCTGCTACCTTTCACCGCAGATGCGAAAGTGCGACATCGGCAGATTGAGACGCATCCAATGCAACGAAACCAAAAATATATCTCTAGTTTAAATTGACGGATTTTGATGGGGATTATTTTATTACGTTACTTAGACTGACGCACCGGTGCGTCAATTGACTTTAGGGGGTTAATTGTCTGATTTCTCTAACCTGATGGGCGATCAAAGCAGTGGTGGCGCGATGGGAGATCAAAGCAGTGGAGTGGTCTGGGCTGTAGATCAGGTGGCGGGCTTTGCGCTGGATAGCGCGTTCGTTCAGGGTTTTAGAGAGGGGGATCTAATCAGTTTAGATTTTTTTTTATAGTAGGCCTATAGGCTACTCAAATGACATGAATTTTTATACAAACCTTCAGAAAATACAGTGCAAGACTTGAAAAAACTGGTGGTTCTCACGGTCAAGTGAAATTATACAACGTATCACTTGTGCACCAGTGGGCTCTGAAGAGGAAACAACGATACATTGTAGCCTAACAACATCGCTCACAAACAGCACAGATGTGAGATTTATTTCACTATAGAAGCACTGGTCCTCTCACATTTTTATTCCAAGTTGCACATCAAAATATTTCGGGGCATATGACAGTCTGCTTTGCCCTTCCACTCTGTCACAACAGGGCTGCAAAGCAGATAGGCTTGCTATAAGATTGAACTGGGAAAATAATGTACCCGTGAAAAAAACCATGAAAAAGCTCCCCAATACTGTCTGATGTATATATTTAATGTATTACCTGAATGGAGACCACAGGCCTTCCGAAAATACATTTAAATCGTGTTTTAATAAAAATTTTGAATTCACCCTGTTCCATTGTTTTCTATGTAATTCCATTTCAAATTTGGCGGCAGGTAGCTTAGTGGTTAAGAGCGTGGTGCCAGTAACCGAAAGGTCGCTGGTTCTAATCCCGAGCCGACTAGGTGAAAAATCTGTTGATGTGCCCTTGAGCAAGGCACTTAACCCTAATTGCTCCTGTAAGTTGCTCTGGATAAGAGCGTCTGCTAAAATAAATAACACATTTGGTTCCTAGTGTGGCTAGTTCTGGGGGCATCATGACACATTTACCTCATTTAGCAGACACTCTAATCCAGAGCGACTTACAAATTGGACACATCTGACTGTTCCTTCTCCTAAAAGACCACCAGAGCTCACAGACAGATGGGTGACATCATTGTTTAGCAGAGCACCATCCTCTCCCAGCTGTGGTGTTGCTAGGCAACCCTAGTGAGTGAGACAGGGACTGAGGGAGAAGGAGGTGACGGGGAGGGGAGGTCACTTACCAGGCATCTGTCCATTCATCTGGTTCTGCATGTGTGGGGCTGGGGGGCCGCCGCTGACCATGCCCTCCGAGGGCATGTTGTGTCCGTGGGGGGGCTGGGGGCCCGGCGCTCCACTCTGGTTCATCCCACCAGGGCCCATGGGCATGTTCTGAGTGGGTGGCTACAGACAGACAACACAGAGACACAGGGAGAGAAACACCATCCGTGTTAAGATACATATCTGAGCCATGTGAGAAAGGGGGGAGAGAGGAAGGATGGATGGATGACCATGCAATCTTAAAAAAAGAAGGATCAGAAACGATCACGTTCAAAATAAAAGCAAATGCTGTTGAAGGTACAGAATTAAAAGACTCAGGCCTCATCTTTCTGTGGACATGACATCTCTGGATATACAGTGCATTCAGAAAGTATTCAGACCCCTTCACCTTTTCCACATTTTGTTACGTTTCAGCCTTATTCTAAAAGAGATTAAATAATTTTTCCCCCTCATCAATCTACACACAATACACACATAATGACAAAGCGAAAACAGGTTTTTAGACATTTTTGCACAAAAAATAGATATAGCTTACATAAGTATTCAGATGCTTTGCTATGAGACTCGAAATTGAGCTTAGCTGCATCCTGTTTCCATTGATCATCCTTGAGATGTTTCTACAACTTGATTGGAGTCCACATGTGGCAAATTCAATTGATTGGACATGATTTGGAAAGGCACACACCTGTCTATATAAAGGTCCCACAGTTGACAGTGCATGTCAGAGCAAAAACTAAGCCATGAGGTCGAAGGAATTGTCCGTAGAACTCCGAGACAGGATTGTGTCGAGGCACAGATCTGGGGAAGGGTACCAAAAAATGTCTACAGCATTGAAGGTCCCCAAGAACACAGTGGCCTCCATCATTCTTAAATGGAAGAAGTTTGGAACAACCAAGACTCTTCCTAGAGCTGGCCGCCTGGCTAAACTGAGCAATCGGGGGAGAAGGTCCTTGGTCAGGGAGGAGACCAAGAACCCAATGTTCACTCTGACAGAGCTCCAGAGTTCCTCTGTGGAGATGGGAGAACCTTCCAGAAGGACAACCATCTCTGCAGAACTCCACCAATCAGGCCTTTATGGTAGAGTGGCCAGACGGAGGCCACTCCTCAGTAAAAGGCACATGACAGCCCACTTGGAGTTTGCCAAAAGGCACCTAAAGGACAGACCATGAGAAACAAGATTATTTGGTCGGATGAAACCAAGATTGAACTCTTCGGTCTGAATGCCAAGCGTCACGTCTGGAGGACACCAGGCACCGCTCATCACCTGGCCAATACCATCCCTATGGTACAGCATTGTGGTGGCAGCAGCATGCTGTGAGGATGTTTTTCAGCGGCAGGGACTGGGAGACTACTCAGGATCGAGGGAAAGATGAACGGAGCAAAGTACAGCAAGATCGTAGATGAAAACCTGCTCCAGAGCGCTCAAGACCTCAGACTGGGGCGAAGGTTCACCTTCACAACAGGACAACGAGCCTAAGCACACAGCCAAGACAACGCAGGAGTGGTTTCATGACAAGTCTCTGAATGTCCTTGAGTGGCCCTGCCAGAGCCCGGACTTGAACCCGATCGAATATCTCTGGAGAGACCTGAAATTAGCTGTGCAGCGACGCTCCCCATCCAACCGGACAGAGCTTGAGAGGATCTGTAACGTAACAAAATGTAGAAAAACTGAAGGGGTCTTAATACTTTCCGAATGCACAGTATAATCTCTGGATATGACATGTTAATCTATCCACTATTTCACAGCGCCAGATTGAAGCAACAAGTAATCGGCCTATCAACAGAGTATACCATTACATTACACTATCTCATACTATTGTAAAGGCCATCAATTAGCCTATTACCAGCAATGTGTCTCAGAGGTGTGACGTGTCACAATAAAACACCCTGTTTGTATATTTATGGTACATAGCCTGAAATACACAGTATGAATATTGTGTGAACCAAGACACCCTATCACAACTACCATTATTCAAACACCACTTCTCCTTCCATACTCACTTCAAGCTTTACCTCTGGGGGAGTAGGGGAGTCACACTTCTGAAATCAAGTACAGAGCATCTAGGTGAACATTATACACCTCCCCTTTGTCCAACAATAGGGGAGACCGGGCAAGCTTGCATTTGGGTGGCATATGAGGCATATCATATTATTACAGTCAATCTCACATGCACCACAAAATATATCGTCAGAGCTTGACAGCGGTAGATATACAAGCAAAAGGGAAAGGGTAACCCGTATTCTGGTTTAATTTCCTGTACTTGACGTATCTAGTGGAATTTCTGACTAGCAGTGTAATGTATATATAGAGGGTATTCTTTAATTGCAGCATAGCTCTGTTGTTGCCTGTCTATGCCCTTATGTCAAGTCATGATCTAGGCCTATATATTATTATTATTATTATAATAATATCAGATGGTGAAGGGAATATTATGGAGAGGGTATTATTAGACACCTTCAAATAGAGAGTCATGTTGGGGGCAATAAAAAAATACTAGTCTATGCTTGGTTCAGGATTTGACATAACTGACCACAATCTTTGAACTATCGGAGCCAATAACAACACCTTCTTTGAAATTGTACAGTATCTGTACAACTTGATGAAATCTTGTAAGCTTCATGTTTTCTCTCTGGCAAAAATGTGTCGGAGTGAATCAGCACCTATGTCCCTGTTGTTGTAAAATCACTGCCCTTCGCCCTGGAACCATACTCACAGCAGGGAGCAGAGACTGCATGTTCTGATTGGAGTCTGCTATCGTGGCCAGGTAAACCAAATTTCTGTGGAGCATTTGCTGGTACCTTTTGACAGAAAGAACATGAAACAAATTTTATCATTTAAAAGACAGGGAGATGGGCCAAAAACTTAGATGCATGATAGTGTGCAACCTGAAAGCCCATCAGGTATGGAGCTTTTGTACATAACGGATAACTTACTGTGAACATTCTGCTGTCTTTCCTTTGCTCTGGAAGTCCATTATACATTGAATCAGCTGATTGTTCTCATCCAGTAACTGAAACATGACAGAGCAAAACTGGAAGAAAACTGATTTTTTTTGGGATAGGCCTATAGAAAACAGACAACTGTATCTTCCTATCCAGTAATGTTTGCAATCTGACCTGTTACATATGAGAGAATACAGTAGCCTAAATACAATGTTAAGGGGATTGGAAACATGCATGGAAACAATGCTGCTTGTATTGACTGGTTGAACTTCAGCAGGACAAACTGTTGTCCCATTCCAATGTAGACTACTCATGGAATCATTATATGTTATTTGAAAGTACAGTAATACATGACGTTGATGGCAACATCGTAGCTAGCTGTTCAACCGGTCTTTTGCCTTTCTCTCCAACGTTAGCTACCTAACTACTACCTAGCTAACGTTAGCTAGCTAGAATCAATGTCATAGTTACTAGTAGTCCTGTTCTGTGCGTGCCTGGCTAACAAAAGACGCTAACAATCCAACTAGCTAAGAAAACCCTAGCCTATGCCTCCATTCATATTAGTAACAAATTCAATGTTAGTCCATCGAATCGACTAAACATGTTAGTTATTTTTAGATTATTTTCCTACTCCCGCGAAGTTCATATTGACCGCGCTTTACCCAAGCAACATTGTTACTATCTATTTCCCTCTTTACAGTTCGACCTGGCCGCTGGCTAGGCTAGTTAGCTAGCAACAGCAGCTGGTGCTATCCGCCTCCATTCTGTTGCAGTGCGTGATAAAGATGAATTAGCTACCTTTTGAATTCCAGCGGGTGTTATATCACCCTTTCCACGTTGTCTGTGAGGTGCAAACGCCACAGACATGGTGTTTTCATATAAAGCTAAATAAACTAAAACATACAACTAAACAGCTAACAAATCTGTAGAACTCAAAGCAGAGAGTTTAGAATAGCAATATCTGATGTTATACTGTGATGTAGCTAGTAGTCCATGGCCGTGTTCGAGAGGATCAAAACCGCAATGTATCATGGGAAAATTGTGACTGACTGACTGATCTACAAATAACAATGAGTTATTACTTATGATGCATCGTGATTTGTAGATCAGTCAGTCCGCAGTGGCCTTCAATCGTTTTGATGCTCTCGAACACGGCCAACTAAAGGGGTGAACGATAATGCCCTTGAGATGTAATATATCTTCGTCAGATATACATAAAAGTAATAACTGCAATATCGAGAGAAAAACATTATGTAAATGCATTTTATTGTTGTTTTGTTAACTAAGACTTTTATAAAAACAAAACAATATGTTCAAACCCTGTCCAGTGGTGGAATAATCCAAACTCAATCCGAAGGCCACAGGGGATTGGAAAATAATATCCCCCGGAAAGGGGCCAAACAGCGCGGAAAACGTCTGTATCAAACCCTTACTATGGTCCCGGAACCACTTATGATAACACTGAAATGCTGTTGAGTTTATGGAGAGTAAAATAAAATGTTGCAGTGCCATAATTTTAAATGGTGGATAGTTTCTTAGGGGAACGCTTAAAATTGAAAGAGTGCAAGCGCATGCGCTATGTGATTACACACGAACACAAAATCAACACTAGCTAAACATTCGCTAGCTGAGTAGCTAGCTACACTTTTTAAACATTTCAGTACATCTGTTTTTAGAAACATAATGGCAGCAAGATATGACAGGGCGATCACTGTGTTTTCTCCCGACGGTCACCTTTTTCAGGTGGAATATGCACAAGAGGCTGTGAAGAAAGGCTCCACTGCTGTAAGTTTGTGACGCTAAGCTAACGTTAGCTGTGTCATTTAGCTACGTAGCTAGCAAGCTAATTTATGATAAGATAGCTAGTTAACGTAACATTGTGATGCTGTTGATGGAGCAAATTGCTAGCCATAACTACTACTAACATTAGCTAACTATCATGTTCTGTTGTTGAATGCAATATGGAATATTTACTTGAATTTCAGTGAGATTACTTAGCTAGCGTCGAACTACTTAACTGTTTAATTTCCCCATTCATTCCTAATTTAGGTGGGCATCAGGGGCAAAGACATTGTTGTCCTTGGAGTTGAGAAGAAGTCCGTCGCCAAACTACAGGAGGAAAGAACAGTCCGCAAGATCTGCGCCTTAGACGACCATGTTTGCATGGCATTCGCAGGTATCTAGCTAGCTAACTACATCTTCATTAATTTGTTTGACATTGCATGTTGTTGCATCATATCTTGATCACCAGACGTAGCTACTTTAACATTGTCTAGCAAGAACAGTTCGTGTAATAGCTGTTTCCATAGGTAAAGCGTTGTCTAGGGAGGTACTTTCTGCCCTTTGTCTGGTTTCAATATTGTTTGGTTTGATGTGGCTCATAACCCAACCAGCTGAACGTTTCGGTCTTAGTTTCTCTTATTTAACCAGTTGTCTACCTCTGTCAGGTCTGACAGCAGATGCCCGCATTGTGATCAACAGAGCTCGGGTGGAGTGCCAGAGTCACAGGCTCACTGTGGAGGACCCAGTCACCGTTGAGTACATCACACGACACATAGCCACCCTGAAACAGGTACGTTACACACCACCTCTCCAACTAACAGCCCCTAACGACTTGCTATTGCCAGCCATGACACAGACAGACACCACTCAATTTAACAATTAGACAGACTTCACTAAAACAGGAAGTAACAGTCCTCCAATAGTCTTTCTCTCATATGTGCACAATCAAGAGATAGCTTGTGTAAGACTTTTGTTTTAATGTGAGGGGAAGCAATTTGTCAGGCACTTGCAACAATTGAAAATATTTTACTGAGTTACAGTTCATATAAGGAAATCAGTCAATTGAAATAAATTCATTAGGCCATAATCTATGGATTTCACATGACTGGGAATACAGATATCCATCAGTTGGTCACAGATAACTTTTTAAAAAAGGTAGGGGCATGGATCAGAAAACCAGTCAATATCTGGTGTGACCACCATTTGCCTCATGGAGCATGACACATCAACTTCGCATAGTGTTGATCAAGCTGTTGATTGTGCCCTGTGGAATGTTGTCCTACTCCTCTTCAAAGGCTGTGTGAAGTTGCTTGATATTGGCGAGAACTTGAACACGCTGTCGTACACGTCGATCCAAAGCATCCCAAATATGCTCAATGGGTCACATGTCTGGTGAGTATGCAGGCCATGGAAGAACTGGGACATATATTTTCAGCTTCCAGGAATTTTGTTCAGATCTTTGCCACACGGTGCCGTGCATTATCATGCTGAAATGCAATTGTGTTCGTTGTCCTTAGCTTATGCCTGACAATACCATAACCCCACCATGGGGCACTCTGTTCACAACGTTGATATCAGCAAACTGCTCGCCCACACGACACCATACATGTGGTCTGCGGTTGTGAGGCCAGTTGGACGTACTGCCAAATTCTCTAAAATGACGTTGGAGCTGGCTTATGGTAGAGAAATTAACATTGCAATTCTCTGGTAACAGCTCTGGTGGACATTCCTGCAGTCAGCATGCCAATTGCACGCTCCCTCAACTTGAGACATCTGTGGTATTGTGTTGAGTGACAAAACTGCACATTTTAGAGTGGCCTTTTATTGTCCCCAGCAGAAGGTACACCTGTGTAATGATCATGTGTTTCATCAGCTTCTTGATATGCCACACCTGTCAGGTGGATGGATTATCTTGGCAAAGAAGAAATGCTCACTAACAGGGATGTATGGAAAATGTGTGGGATCTTTTATTTCAGCTCATGAAACATGGGACCAACACTTTACATGTTGCGTTTATATTTTTCTTCAGTGTAGTTACCTGTCCAAAATTGCAATCCCAAATGTAACTTTTGGATTACCCAAACTAAGTAACGTAATCTGATTACATTCAGGCGCAGGTTAGTAGCTGGCACAGCCACAAAGTCATAAAATCTGACTTTAAACCTAATGGCCAATTTTGGCCCATCTATGGGAAATCGCTCAGTTCTGCCTTAAGGACAAGACTCATCCCAATAAACGTCAACCTGCTTAAGAGGCATTAGGAGACCAAAATGTATATTACCAATTGAGCGACATCTATTGCAGGATAAATCAGTGTTAGTGTTTACAGACCTGGCCATAAATGGATGTTGCATTTTACTTTACGGGTTGGTTGTGTAGGCTTCTTCTAAAACATTGCTTTCCATAACAGGTAATACGATTAGGCTTTACATAAAACCAACAGTCTGTCAGATTTCCAGTCGTTCCAATTAATTTAATACCCCTTGATCTTCAAGAATAGGACTTGGAAATATAGATTAGCCAAATTGTTTTACCTGATCATAACCCAAAACTAAGGACTAATTAGCCTAATATGTTGTTTTTGATTTTGTTGTCATAGAGGACTGATTGGGCTTCGAGTTGAAAAAGAAATGCTGCTCTCGGAATGGCATGCTTTGATTACTACCGAAAAGTGCTATTTGCATGTGAAAATCTAGATGGTACATTTCCATGAAGAAAATAAAAGCCCCACTTGTGGTCTTCTTAAATTAAACTTGTTTTTGACAGTATGGGGCACAGTACCATGGGGGAGTTTAAAAGGGAGGAACTCAAACTTTTATTCCATAGGCTGGGATCCGCACTATGCAGCTGTTGCAAGAGCACATTTTTCACTGGCTGTCCACTGGGGCGTATTCATTACTCCGATTGTGTTGCAACATTTTTCTTCAACAGAAGCAAACTGAATGAAACTGGGAGGGACCGTTCATATGATACCTCCAGTGGGAGGGACCTACTTGAATTTGTCCAATAGAAACTTGCGTTTTGCTCTGTTTGCTTCCGGTTTGGTTCTTAAACGGTTTCCGTAATTAATATACCCCTGGTCGCAAAAACAATGATTGATAAGCAGCTTAAACTTCTTAAATTCAACCATTATTGGGTTAAAATACACATATACATTAGTGAACAGCCATCCACAACAACTACAATCTGTAAGTTTGCAGACGACACAACAGTAGTAGGCTTGATTACCAACAATGATGAGACCGCCTACAGGGAGGAGGTGAGGGCTCTGGGAGTGTGGTGCCAGGAAAATAACCTCTCACTCAACGTCAACAAAACAAAGGAGATGATCGTGGACTTCAGGAAACAGCAGAGGGCGCACCCCCCTATCCACATCGACGGGACGGCAGTGGAGAAGATGGAAAGCTTCAAGTTCCTTGGCATACACATCACTGACAAACTGAAATGGTCCACCCACGCAGACAGTGTGGTGAAGAAGGCGCAACAGAGCCTCTTCAACCTCAGGAGGCTGAAGAAATTTGGCTTGGCACCTAAAACACTCACAAACTTTTACAGATGCACAATTGAGAGCATCCTGTCGGGCTGTATCACCGCCTGGTACGGCAACCGCAGGGCTCTCCAGAGGGTGGTGCGGTCTGCCGAACGCATTACCGGGGGCAAACTACCCGCCCTCCAGGACACCTACAGCACCCGACGTCACAGGAAGACCAAAAAGATAATCAAGGACATCAACCACCCGAGGCACTGCCTGTTCACCCCGCTATCATCCAGAAGGCGAGGTCAGTACAGGTGCATCAAAGCTGGGACCGAGAGAATGAAAAACAGCTTCTATCTCAAGGCCATCAGACTGTTAAATAGCCATCACTAGCACATTAGAGGCTGCTGCTGCCTATTGAAATCACTGGCCACTTTAAGAAATGGAACACTAGTCACTTTAATAATGTTTACATATCTTGCATTACTCATCTCATATGTATATACTGTATTCTATAATATTCTACTGTATCTTAGTCCATGCCGCTCTGTCATTGCTTGTCCATATATGTATATATTCTTAAATTCCATTCCTTACTTAGATTTGTGTGTATTGGGTATATGCTGTGAAATGGTTAGATATTACTTGTTAGATATTACTGCACTGTCGGAGCTAGAAGCACAAGCATTTCGCTACACCCGCAATAACATCTGCTAAACACGTGTATGTGACAAATACAATTTGATTTAAGGCGCAAATAAATGAGAGCAGTAGTGTGATTTACATTTTAGTCATTATAGCAGACACTCTTGTCCAGAGCGACTAACAGTTAGTGAGAGCATACATTATTTTTCATACTGGCCCCCCGTGGGAATCGAACCCACAACCCTGGCGTTGCGAACGCCATGCTCTACCAACTGAGCTACACTGGACATCAATGCGCTATGTAGCTTAGATATCAATAATAAAAATATCAGTATCGCTCATAGGTTACGTACCACTGCTGTAGTCCTTAACTCCAAGCGTTTATTCAAGTTGGATCATCTTTGGATGCCTACAGCAGTCGCACCATTGGAAGACATACAGTAGCTTGGACTGTTGCCTACAAAAAGCCTATTCCTGCTCTTTTCCCACGATCCATCAAACACATTTGGTGTGTCATACTGGTCTTTGATTTGTGGTCAGACTCGTTCAGGCAGAACAAACGTAAACTTGTGCCTTTTTTCAATGCTGATTTGAATGTCATTGAGAAAAGAAATGTACAAAAAAATTAACTGAATTTAAAAGTAACCCTAGAAGTAATCTAGTTTTTCAAAAGTATCTAATCTGATTACAATATTTTAGCTGGTAACAGATTACAGTAATTTTTTTTGCAATCCGTTACTCGCCAAACCTGCATGCAAGGCTACCTTGGACCCAGTTTGGTAGAGTAAACTAGAGTTCATATGATACTTGACTGTTTGTTTATTTTCATTGAAAGCCAGCTTTTTATCTTCTTCTGTAGCGTTACACTCAGAGTAATGGACGCAGACCGTTTGGCATCTCAGCGTTGATCGTGGGTTTTGACTACGATGGGACCCCCAGGCTCTATCAGACTGACCCCTCAGGAACATACCATGCATGGAAGGTCAGCCAATCCACAAAAATACCTCACCTTTCTCCACAGATAAATATGTTTAATGTTTTTCACAGCCATGATGATTCTCTGAAGTGTATCGTTGCAAAAATTAGATTTTCTTTGTCTTAATTGTGAGGTCTGTTTTTTAAATCAACATTAGCTATTGAACTGTATTTAAAACCATAAATACAGCTCAATTGGTATTTTATTGTTTTAAAAATACTCAGTTACTGAATTGTTACCCATCCCTTTGTTCAGGCAAATGCAATTGGCCGCAGTGCTAAGACAGTGAGGGAATTCCTGGAGAAGAACTACACAGACGAAGCCATCGCCACTGACAACGAGGCGATAAAGCTGGCAATCAAAGCCTTGCTTGAGGTGAGGTCAAACAGTCATTTTTATACTCAACTCCAAACCGACCCCCTAACCCCTACTTCCTACTCCCTAGGCACTTCTGTAGATCTGAGACAGTTACATTTGTGTATTCAATATGGCCACAAATGCAGCTATTAGCGTATTCAATCCATTGTGTACATTTACCTTTTGAACTATGTTTACAGGTGGTTCAGTCTGGTGGGAAGAACATTGAGCTTGCTGTGATCAGAAGAAACCAGCCACTGAAGGTAACCTCACCAAAGAGTTTGGTGCTCTGATCCCAGTATTTACTGCGTTACATTATAGTAATTTAGCAGACGCTCTTATCCAGAGCGACTTACTTTACAAATGTATTTGTCTATGGGCTAATTGCTTCTTTTTTTTGCTCCATGTAGTTACTGGAGTCCAAAGAAATTGAGACCCTGGTGGCTGAGATCGAGAAAGAGAAGGAAGAGGAGGCAGAGAAGAAAAAACAGAAGAAATCTACTTGAAGTCGTTACTGAACCACCGGCTTTCGTTTAGCACTTGGGTAAAGGCAGCGTATTTGGTCGGTAAACATAAAAAAAGGTTTATAGGCCCAAATCCAGCTTTCATATCACACACTAAGGTTCCTATGTTGAATTTTCACACAAATATCCCATTGGCATTGCCATCAATGCATGGTTTATGTGGAAGTTGAGTAAAATGTGTGGATTTCAAGTTAGGATTCAGAACTACAAGGAGATCTCACCTCTGCCCTCTTTAAGAACAGTATGTTTTTTTTTTTCATTGAACTTATTTGAAGTGAATGTTAATAGATCAACATACTTAATAAAGTCAACTTGTTTATGTACATTCTTTGTTTTTATTGACAAGATGCTATATTATTTTAACTTCTATAGCATTCATTGCATTATAGGGAGACAGTGTTATTTTCTTTAGATTCATGTTATCTTAGTTGTGTTAGTTAATGCTAAAATAATGTCTGTAGTGAGAAGTCAAGCACCCAATCCCAGATAGTAATAAAAAAAATACTGTAGTAACATCTTCAAAATGGAATCAGAACAGCAGTATACCAACTATTTCAAGAATAGGCCACAGTAAACATCTCCCCATGAATGATTCAGCGCCCCCCATTGGACCAATTGAGATATTGTGTGTGACTAACACATTTCAGTTAATTTCTATAGCTCAGGCCTTGGGCCAATCAATGTAATTTTGTAAATGCCGGATCTCTATGGCAAGACGCATCATTCACCCAAGTTTTGTCAAAATCGGGCTACTGCTGTCAGAGATGTCGTGTGTGACTAATGGATGGACGGGGACAGATCCACAGTCCCCGATTTCATCGTGGGGGATAATGAAGGCTTAGTTCATAATTTCTTCTTCATATTGACCCACTGATATGTCAATGTCATTTTATCTTTCTTCACTTAAGTATCATACCCAGCAGTATATAAAAAGATCACTGTTATTCCTCACTCCAGCAGAGTTAACTCAACATTCATAATGGCAATGTTTCCATTTATCAGCATTCTTTAGGAATATCACTCATACAGCGAATAAAGAGTAGCCCAGGCACCAGACAGACAGCTTTATGAAGCGCTCATCTCTCACAGTCATTTAAAGGGCAGTGCAGTTACATGTGATTTTCCAGCTATGAGGTCAAAATAGTCCCAGTCGGTATTAGAATGTCGCGCCTAGAACAAGACCAACAAACAAACGGACTATACAGCTACAAGTAGTGAGTGGAGTTACAAATGGACTATAGAAAACAAGTTAAATGTCTTACCTGTGATAAAATATTTTCCACACATATAGCTAGCTACATTTAGCCTACTTGGACACCAGGTCCCTACATTTCTCACTCCAAATAGCCTGAAGCCACAGGGCTCTTCTCGTAGCCTCTATCGTACATTGAACAACACAGCAGCTTTTCAGCGTTTTTTTGTTATTTCTGTATATATACAACTTCCCATTGTCAATGGGAAAGAATGAATGTTTGTTTTCCCCAATTTGTGGGCGTGGACGAGGATAATTCCTTTTTATGACGTAAATATCGACTCAGAGTATAACACTCTGAAAATGATGATAATGCCCTTTTTGTGTACGAGCTGTTTGAAAGAAATGCCTGGAATTTCAGCCTGTTCAGGTGGGATGGAACTTTTAGTCCACATCATGACATCACAATGTGATTGATTATAATAGACAGATTACTTTTCATCTGGGTAAGGAGGTGGGCTCTAGACCATCCTATCAGCCAATCAGGGCTGTGTATGTAAATATCTTCACATTTGTTTCCTAACTCCCACACGATCAGACTGAGCATGTCAAGGGCCAAAGGAGGCTCAGGGAAATATATATATATTTTTTGGAATTATTTTCTTTAAATAAACACACACATTGGTTTATTAGACATACAGTGATGATTTTAAAATAAAATTACAACGACTGCATGAGGGCTTTACAATAAATTAGTGATGGACCAAGGGAAGGGTCTGTATGCCTCTTCCCTCCTTTCTTGCCTCACTCCCTCCTGTTATTTCACCCTAAATTTGCTTATCAAGCAACCGCTGCTCTGAATTCTCAAAAACACAATTATGGCCGCTGGTGTAGTAGGCCTGCTTAATGGGATCCTGGCCTCAGACCCCAGTGGGAAACTTCAGTGACTTTAATCTGGAGCCCTTTGAAAAGTTGTGCTGAGGAGCCCCGGGGGTCCCTGTGACTCTCACCAAAGACATCATGGTGAATGGTAAAGTCCTTCATTTAGAGTCATCTCCCCCAGACAGGATTTCCTGAGTGGATGCCATGACTGCCGTGGCAAGAGAAACCGCAATTTGTCTTGTTTGTGTGGGTTATAGATGGGTGGGTATGAATACTTTAATTTCCGGAGTATCCTTTATAGCCATACTATAAATGTATAGGTTGTTAAATTATTTATCAAACTCAATTCTTCAATGATTTAAGGACAATGGTAGTGCAGATGTGTGCTAATCAAGAATGAGCTTTACATTTTTTTTGTCCACACACTAACATATTCATTTTATATTTCAGTCAGTTGTATGTTGAAGCTCTCAGTTGTATGTCAGAAGCGCTTGCAAAGTTCTTATTCTGACAGACACAGACAACAGACAGACAAACATTGCTTTTCTGATGCTTGCGGTAGTGGTTGAAAGTGAAGCCGAATTACAAAGCAGCAACGAAGTAAGCTACTTCCTTAATTTTCTCCAAGTTCACTAAGGGTAGTCCTCTCAGACACAGAGGTTATCTAGATCCATCTTGTCAATAGACTGAGAACAGCTTATGTTTCTAATGCCAAAGCTGGCTTCTGCTCCAAGTTCTGTTTGTACTGCTTGTGGGAAGAGTTTCTCTTTGTTTTTCGCTGCCTGCCGTTGTTGTTGCCCATAATCAGAATGAGCTACTTTGCCTGGGGACAAAGCCCATCACTGGCTGGCTGCTGTTCGTCATTAATGCAGAAAATAATGGCTCCACCAGAGGTCATCTACGGAGGAACGAGGCCCGGGGACATGTGCTCTCCAAGCAAGAATGCACAGTGCCCAGGGCTGTAGACTGAGTGCATTACAGTATACACACACACACACACACACACACACACACACTCTTAATGTACCTCACAAACCAATTGTGCAAACATATTGCGGTTTTTAGACTACTGACAACACAGTAGCCTAAACAGTATAAGATGTACACACACACGCCTCACAAACCAATAGTATACATATATTGCGGACTACACGTAGTAGACATTGTAAACTGAATAAAAATGTACATCAACACACACACACACACACACACACCCATACAACTCAACACACATACTCTCAACACAGAGTGTATTTATGCGTTTGAATGAATATACTTTTATGTTACCTGAATGCATAAAAAATAGATGGAAACTGCCTGTAGTATGATTCTGCTGCATTTTGCCTAATAATAACAAAATCAATGTAGCTTCCTGTCGTGTTGATTTCAATTCACATACAGTGCACATTGCAGGCAGCGCAGGCTGGGATCTACATTTTGTCATTCTAATGTGTTACCCCGTGGCTGTATTTCAAAGCAGGCCCCTCTTGGGATGTTTCAAATTATCAGTGTGGAATGTCCCCAGGTCCAGATAAGATAACTGCTTCAAGGGCAAAACACACACACAGACAGAGAGACACACACATACAGACACACAACCCCTGGGAGCTAAGGTTATATCAGTCCTCCTCTCTTACAGAGTGCTTCTGTTCCACTGAAAACAATGGAGCCAGTACCACTTGTCACCAGCCGGGTGCAGTGTTGCATAAAAGCAGTACATTCATATCAGTTACACTTTCATCTCACTTTTGTCATTAAGGCTTACAGTATGAGTCTAGCTAACAGCTAGCTGAATATACTATACTGGCTTCTGACATGTTTTTGTTGCTATACGCTTTAACATAGAGCCTCAAAGGCTCTAAGAACAATTTAATCCATTGAGAGAGAGAGAGAGAGAGAGAGAGAGAGAGAGAGAGAGAGAGAGAGAGAGAGAGAGAGAGAGAGAGAGAGAGAGAGGGGGAGAGAGAGAGCGAGAGAGAGAGAGAGAGAGAGAGAGAGAGAGAGAGAGAGAGAGAGAGAGAGTTGGGTTTGCTTAAAACTGTCAGAAGAAAAAACAACAAGGCTCATGTCCTGCAGCCATGGCCAAGCTGTCAAAGTGTGTTGGGTCATGAAAGGCTACACTCTCAACACTGTCCCTTTTCTGCTTGTCAATTGTCAACAGATATATACACCATTATCCGTGCATAGCCGATCTGATCCGCTAGCCTTCACTCATTCCCTACAGGGTTATGGTTATACCACGAGGTAAAGGATGGACAAATTGGAAGTATGTACTGTATGTAGTCCTAAGACATATGTGTAATCACATTTGTGATCCCCTATTATAGCTCCGGGGATGCATTGACTGTAGAATAATTTCCACATATTTCTCTCACATCATTCATTCATAGGCCTGCAAAGTATCTTCGCCTCGTGAACACACCCTCTATCAATGTCACCACAGTTGCGAACATACACAGTGGCGTAAATGATACAACAAGCTGCATTGATAGCCTTGGCCTTTGTGTGTGTTGAATGGGTGTTAGAACACTAACAGTTCAGTGTTTACAGACTAAAGGGCTGGTTTACTGTTACCCCTCAAGAGTCAACTGACAATGGTTTTGTCTCACTGGAGAAGAATACGAGTACATCCTCTTCTAATTGAAAGATGATACTATCAGATACACAGGGAGAGAGAACGAGAGAGGGAGGGAGAGAGAGAAAGAGAAGGCATGGAAAACTAGAGAGAGTGGGTAAGAAATAGAGGACGGAGAGATTGGCAAAAAGGAGCAGACAAGGCTAAGTAAACAATTCCCATGATGCCGTGGGGCAGGAAGCAGTAGCCCGGGGGTGCTTGGCCTCTCAGGGCCGTGGCAGAAGTCAGTCACACACATCACATAGAATTACTCGGAATGGGGTTACAGCAAAA